AACGCATACGATGGCTCCCCCTTCGAAGCGTTCACGCTGGGCGGGCATAATCTCTCATTCTCACGGTGACCCTGCAAGGTTGCTGCCTGTGTTCTCTCCACTGGAGAGAAGGGGAAACTGATGTTCTAAGTGGTCAGTGACTTGCCCAAGGTCAGGTGGGGAGCCGGTGGCAGTGCTGGCACTCAACAGGTGTGTTCCTGTTGGGATGAGCTGCTGAGGTCCTTTGGCACAAGGTCTGGAGCAGGGTCGTCTCAGAGGGTGGTGACGGTTTAGTGAGGGAGTCAGCAAGTGAGCAAATGAATGAATAAGGGGCTCTGCCTCTGGGAAGATAAGGGAGGGCCACAGGCCTCTCCTTAGTTGCCCCCTCCAACGAGACCCCTGAAATTAATGGCCTGCAGGAAAGAGCCCATCTGTTCTCCCCCCCAAAACAAGAGTCCCCAACTTTCTAGGTCCCAGGAATCCCCCTGGGTGTCCAAATGCCCACTAAGGAGCACTAAGAACCACCTCTTTGGCCTGTCCCCCCACCTCCAACCAGAAGCCAGAGATCACCCTACCCTAGTCCCCATCCCCACCTGCACCCTTGCCCAGGCAGAACTCCAGGCTGGGGTTGGGGTCTGAGGTGGGGGTGAGGCAGGGGAAAAGCTGTCCTCTCTCCATCACCTCTGCCTCCCTCCTCTCCCTCTGCAGCTCACTCTGGGGAGCCCCTGGGGTGGGGGCAGGGCACACTCCAGTTGGCTCTAAGGAGCTTGGGAGGTAGGATGCTGGAGCCCCTTCCTGGCCAGCCAGCCTCCCACTCCCATGGGGAGGGGTAAGGAAGGTTCTTCATTCATTCAACAAACATTTATGAAGCCCCTACTATGTGCCAGGCCCTGGGTTAGGCACTGGGGCTCAGCAGAAAGCACACACAGACCCTTCCTCTTAATGTCTATGGTTCCACTGAGAAGGTGACCGGTGCTGTGTGTCATGTGCCACTCCACGCTCCCAAGGACTGTCCCTACCCGCAGAAAACTGAAAGCTCCCTGTGGGCAGGAGCTGTGCCTCCCCCACGAGACCGAGTTTTCCCCAGGGCATGGTCGTGACATCCCCACCAGGCTTGGGCTCCCACGGCTAGAAATCCTGACATTCCTGAGAAACCTCTCTTCACACTCCAGAGCCTCCCTGGACAGGGCTGCCAGATAAAATATAGGATGCCCAGTTAAACTTGAATTTCAGATAAACAAGGAATAATTTTTAGTTTAAGTATACCTCATGTGAAATTTGGGACATACTTAAACTAAAAATTATTCCTTGTTTATCTGAAATTCAAAGTTAACTGGGCTCTGTGTGTTTCTACTTGCTAAATCCGGCAACCCGATCCTGGAGCTCATTCCTTCTTCTGTCACCTGGCCTGGCCAGATGGCCCAGGTCATGCCTGGACATGGCCCCTGCCTGCCCAGTTGTAGCTCCTGTTGGCTCCCAGGACTGCTGTCCTCCCTACCTGCAACCCTAACTCCCAGGCGGATGCTCGCCCACCTGGCGTGCACAGTCCAGCCTGTGGACCGTCAGGAATGCTGCTGGTCCTCTTGCAGGATGGATGCAGAGAGAGGAGGACAGAGCCGCAGCTGCAGAGAAGGACTGCGCGCATCAGAGACTGAGAGAGGCGGAGACGCAGAGATAAACGGACACAGAGAAGGAGCAGATGCAGCAGTGGGACAGAGCCAAGACGGAGAGAGACAGAGCGCTTAAGGCCCCCTCCGCAGAACGGCTTTAGGGAGACCAGTGCAGTGGCTGGAGGGTCCCGAGATCCCACCAGGGTTTGCCCTGAGTGGATGGTGGCAGAGGCTGGGCCCTGAACAGGTGGGCCCTGGGAGGCAGCTCGGGGTCTCCTGCGCTGGCAGTCAGGGGTGGGCGTCTTCCCCAGCCCCTGGTGCTATCCCCTTGCCCTGCCTCCCAGGGGCAAACACAGGGACATTCATGGCTTCCCAGAAGGACCCATGGGGCAGCCAGAGTGGCTTTTAAAATTAGCCTCTCTAACCAGATCTGGTTATTTCAGGAGGCTCCGTCCCTGCCTGTCCCTTTGGCAGGGCGGGTGCAGGGAGGGATCTCCACATTCCAGGGTCCCTGGTTAAGCACCCCTGCGGCCTGAGCAGCAGAGAATGTCCAGGTCCCAGTCCCCTGGCACTGGGCGGGCCTGTGCCTGTGGCTGTCTCTTTGGCAATGGGGCCCCAGGGTTAGCCATGTATGTCCAGGGACAACCCAGATGGTGGGGGTGGGGGTGGGGAAGGACAGAAGAGGACCCCTCCTACTGGGCATGGGGTTCTATGCTAGGTATTTTAGTGGCCATGATAGTCTCTTCACAGCAATAGACTTTGTCCCCATTTTACAGGTGAGGAAAATGAGGCCTGGAGGGACAGGTCTCAGTTCTGAGGCAGGGAGATGGAGTTGCTGGGGCAGCCAGGCACCCAAGTGCCTCCACAGGAGGCCTCTTGCCTCCTGTGTCTGGAGAAACCTCTGGCTGCCGTTTCCGCCACCAGAGTTATTTCTAAGCCGAGTCCAATACTTTCCGGAACCCGGTGCCCCCCGCCCAAGCCCTAATTCCAGCCTCGGGGCAGTGTCCCGGCTCGCCCTCCCCACCTCAGAACCCAGGGCGAGCATGGAGCTGGCGTGGGCACAAAAGAAACAGCACTGGACACTTTGATCCCAGAGGCCAGACTGGTCCTCAGCCTCCCCCAGCCCCACCTTGGAGACCGGGGGGAGGAGGGCGTAGGGTGAGGGCCTGGGCTGAACCCAGCCCAGGGGCCTGCCCTTCCCACAGATGGGAACTGGCACAACCTAGGGCAAAGACAGGTTCCGCTCACCAAGCTGCCTCTGCATCTGCCACAACAGATCCAAGAGCTTTGGCTCATCTGCGAGTCAGAGCTGCGGCGTGGGGCACATAGTAAAAGAAAGGATACAAGTGGGGTGCTCAGGATCTTTAATAAAAGGATCATCAAGCCCGGTAAAACCAGGAAGCTGAAGCTCAGGAGAGCAACCGACATTATTCCGTCCCCAAAGCCTCACGTCAGATATTTGTGCCGGGCAGTGCCAGTCACTCCGTCCTCCACCCCAAGCGCTGACTCCACACCCTCTGATGTGGGTTATACATGTCATCTTCATTCATGGCTCATCACCCCTCATACCCAACACACACAATTTTTGGAGCCGACCATGGGCCAAGGTTTCACCAAGACCTTAATGAAGTAGCCCCTCACCGAATCCCCACATCAGGGTACCAACGTCAGGACTATTAGCATTCCTACTGTACAGACAAGGAATCTGAGATCCAGTCACAGAGCTTGGGAGTGAATGACCTCAGAGCCAAGCTCTTGACCTTAGTGCTGAACTGTGGTTGCCTGCCCTTGGGGGAGGGGTTGCAGGGGACACATGAGAGACTGAGGCAGAGCGTTCTGAAGAGCCAGGCCCCGGGAGGGGCATGAGGGTTGGAGGACAAGGGTGAGGCTGAGCAAAGGAGGGGATTGGGGTCAGGAGGGGTCCTGCTGTGCCCAAGGCAGCCTTAGAGCCAAACCGAGGTGGGCGGGGCTGGGGCTTGGGTGTGAGTCACAGACGCTGGGTGGCCCCAGACATCCAAGAGTCACGGAAGGGCCCTGATGGGAAAAGCAGGGGCAGCCCCCAGGATGCACTCAGCATTGTCCTGGGGAGGCTGGGGAGGCTGGTGGCGAGAACGGTGTAGGGTGGCTGCAAAGCTGTCGGGGAGGCCAGGGCGTGGTTGATCTTAATGGAACCCAATTCTGTGCCCATCCCCAAGCCCAATAACCCCTAACTCACCCCGAACCTGCTCTTCCTCCCATGCTCCAAGCTCAGAGAAGACTCCCCATCCATGCACTACTCAGGCTGGACCCCTGAGAACCTCTTCAACTCCTCCCTCAGCCCCATATCCCGTTGGGACCTTCATCCAGACGCTCAGGGCTCCCAACACCTTCCAGGCCTGCACACTGCCCCCCTGGCCACCCTCTGACCCCAACAGCCTTCTTGATCCTCCCCGCCCTGCTCTGACACTGTCCAGCCCGTCTCTGCCAGCAGCCCCACTTCTCTTGTTATGGCTCCCCATTGCCCTCAGCATAAAGCTCCGGCCCCTTAGTCTGGCATTCAAGGCCATGTGGCCTCTAGCTTCATCTCTCTCCATCTCCCTGTGCCCTCCATCATCACCTTCCCATCACTCAGGACTGTTTGCTACCTTCCCAAGCATCAGCCGTCCTATCCCTGGGGGACGCTTTCCTGACTAAACCTTTCCAGGATGCTCAGGCACCACTGTTCCAGTCCCCCTGCCTCTCTCAGCCAGGCTGGCCCACTGCTCACGCACACCTCTGTCACTCATCACTCTTTATTGTTAACTGTCCTGCACTGAGCTCCTCTCAAGCTGAACGGACTCATCCCCAACTGCCAGGTAAGTGATCACTCGTTGCCCCCTGGTGGCCACATAGGGGAAATTCTTGGGCTTCGCTGAACGGGATGGTGAAGTTGATCATTGAGCACCCACTGGGTTCCAGACACTGGGCTAGGTGTTTGATACCCACCAGCTCAATGAATGAATCTGCATGATAAACCCTTGGGAGAGGTACCATTGCTCCCATTTTACAAAAGGAGAAACCGCGGCTCAGAGGAGCTAGTAAGTTCTCTAAAGCCGCTCAGCTAGTAGATGGTGCCAGGACTCAAACCAGGGTCTGCTTGATTCAAAGCCTTGTTCTTCCCCCTGTGGAGAAGAGGACAGAGTGGAGGGAAGGGCAGTGCCATGGGGAGGAAGCCATGGCTGGTGGTCATGGAGCCCGGGGTTTGGCCTTGGGTGTGCCCACCGGACCCAGCAGCTCTGACGGGCTGGGGTGGTGGTGGTGAACAGGCTTCCCCCTCCGGCTTGGTACCACTGAGATCCACCTGGGATCGATCTGGGCAGGGTTCACGCAAAGCCAGGTCCAACTCTGGGTACAATAGCGATAAATAGAATTTATTTTGTACAACTGTTACCGACACACACACGGCCACAGGGGCTTCCAAAAATGGGTGTTGGGGCTGGAAGGCTGGCCCTTGGCGTGGCTCCTAAAAAGTGTGGACAGACACACACAAGGATGTGGACTCACAGCGGCTGTGCCTGGCCGCCCCCTCTGTGGGGGTGGGGGGCGGGGCAAAGGTGAAGCCTCTGTCTCTAGGCCAGCCAAGACCCCTTGGCCTGGGGTGACCAGAAACACGGGATGGCAGAGGTGAAGCTGGGTGCTGGCTGAGGAGCCAGGTAGGGTCCCCTTTCCCCCACAAGGGGGTCACTCGTCTGTCGTGTGGAGGCAGTGGACAGGGCATCAGCAGATCCGCGGTAGAGCTCGAGGGTCCAGGAGGGGCGACGGGCAGAGCCAGCTCCCTGCCCCTCAGTCCACCTGGGGCCCCAGGGACCCAAGCAGCAGGGTAGGGTGATGGGAGGCCCCTGGGAGGATATCCCCATTCTGGGGCAGGTACATGGAATCACAGTCTTCAGTGACCTCTGAAATAATCTTGTCCGTTTGTAGCAGAGGTGTCCAGAGAGGTGTCCCAGAGTCACATGGCGGAACCCATCCTGGAAGCCAGGACTCAGGACTGCCGGCCCAGTGCACACTCCACCTCATCTCACATCCCGCTGCCCGCAGGCTCTGTACGCCCTAGTGTAGCTCAGTCTCCCCCTCCCAGAGGGGCACCAAGGCGTGTCGGAGGGCCCAGGTGGGGGCAAGCCAGGCCTGGAGTCTTGCTTCAACTGATGACCCCCTGCATCAGCCCAGCCCCCAGCCTGGGGTGTGGGGGTGATGCCAGCAGCTTCCCCGATCCCGGGCCTGGATGGCTCCGCCCTGCAGAGACCACCCAGACAGTGGGTCGAGGGGAGGGTTGGGGAGACAGGGGGCAGCCCACAGGCTGGTGTTGACTTTGGGGGCAGAGGTCCTGTCTGCCTGAATTTGACACAGCATCTTCACCTTGTGCTTCTGCGACCTCGCCTGCAGGGTAAAGGGAGATGGAGAAACCACAAAGCAGGGACACGGAGACACCCTTGGGGTTCCAGGCTCTGGGTCTTTCCATCCTACTGGGAATCCCCCAGACCCCTCTCTCCCAGTAATTCCAAGTCCCTTTCAGGCTCCCATGAAATCCCCCCAGCAACTCATGAGCAGAGGTGAGGCAGCATTTATTAGCCTCACTGCACAGATACGGAAACTGAGGCCCAGAAAGGGGCCAACGATCTGCCCAAGTCACCCAGTATCTGAGTGGCAAAGGATCGGAACCCAGACGCATAGCTCTCAGCCCAGAGAGGGGAGAGAGGAACAGGGAGGAGCCGGCCCACGCCCCTGCCCACTGCCGCCCATTCCCACCCAACAAAAGCTGAGGGCTGGGTCTGACCTGCTCAGTCACCTTCCGAGGGGAGCCTGGCTAACAGCCCTGCACAGAGAATGGCGACGAGGCAGGGGACAGGACAGATGACGACATGGAGCAGGAGACACAGGCAAGCAGAAGTCACTGGCTGTGCCCACGCGGGGTGAGCCCAACCCCTCCTGGCCTAGGGGACACCTCTTGGTCTAGTCTCCACCCCTGGTCCCCTCCAGGGGCTGCGTGTACCAGCTGGGATGTGTGCTGCTCAGCCGCTTCCAGCTGGATCTTGATCTCTGGACAAGCAGGGTCCCCCGACTTGCCGGCGTCTGGATGGGGTGACCGCGAGGGGCCTGGGGAAGGGGGCAGGAGGGAGCCACCTCACTGGCTGCGGGGAGGCACCAGGGAGATGGGCATGGATGGGCAGTTGGCACTGGTGCTCGCCAACCCCGCCAAGTGCCTCCCTCACCCTAACTCCTGTCTTTACCTCCCCGTCATCCTCCACGACCTCTCCAGAAGCCACCAGCGTTCCAAGCCACCCAATCACCTTAAGTTTGATAATGACCCTCCTGCTGTCTCCTGCGTCACATCCCCACCACCTGGGGCATGAGAAGTGGACTCAGCCCTCTGTGCCCAGCCCTGTCCGCCTCCCACCGCCAGAGTGGCAGAGGAGGCCGCCTGTGGCCTGGTACCTGGCGAGCTGCCCCCACTCGTGGTGCTGACACTGTCCTCCAGCCATGTGCTATAGATGAAGGAGTCCCGCTTGTGTGGTGTCCCAGAGGATGAGATGCTCTCCTGGGGATGGGCGGAGGACAGGAAGCGGGAGGTCAGCTCTTGTCCAGCGGCACAGGCTTGGCTTCCCTCCCCCTCCAAGCCTCCTCTGTCCCATTTCAGTCTACGACCTCCCACCACTGCCCCCCTGCAGAGAGGAGGAGGGGGGCCCAGCCACGCCTGTGCCCGGGTGACCACAGGAGGACGGAGTGGGAACAGGCATACGCTATGTACTCCTACTCATTCATTCAACAAACATTCACTGACGTTCTCCCGGGCAAAGCCACGAGACGTTGCATATGGCCCCTGACCTCAGGTGGCTCGAAGTCTAGGAGGCAAGACAGGCTGTGAAGAGACTATTATAATTCTAGACTCTACACCCCATTGGGCAGGGGTCTGCACTGCTCCGTGCCGTACCTGCCGCAGCTGGAACAGGACCTGGCTAGGAACAGGTGCCCACTAAACGTGTGTTGAACGAAGAATGACAAAAGGGGGCTAAGGGCAAAGCCCAGGGGTCTATGAGAGTATAAAGAAGGGTTCCGAATCTACCCTGGGACTAGAAAATCAGGGAAGGCTTTCAAGAGGAGGTGATGGGAGGCTAAGCCGAGAAGAATCAGTAGGAGTCAGACAGACAAAGGGGAAGCAGGAGGCAGGAGAGGGCTCCAGACAGAGAAAATGGTACATGCAAAGGCCCAGAGGTGGAGTAAGCCTGGTACCTTTGGGGGCAGCGAAGGAGTATAGAATGGCTGAAGCGGCAAGAGATGAGGCTGAGAATGGAGGGAGGGACTAGATCTTCAATGGTCTTAGAGGTTGGGCTCTCTGTGGGGGGTGCACTGGGGAACCATGGAAGGCTTCAGAGTAAGGGGGGATCATTCTGCGTTACTCCTTCAGGCTGGGTCCCTGATTACATCTCGACAACACCCAGGCTCCTACTTCTATCCAAAGCGTCTCCAGGGACCAAAGAGCCCCGCTTCCAGGCCAGCGCGGACCACCCGCACCCCCCAGACCTCTCACCAGGCCTGTGTCGTCCCCGTCCACACCCTCCGTCTCCTCCACCACGCTGGCGAAGCTGCTGGCGCTGGACGAGGAGCGGGAGAAGTCCTTCAGCACTTCTGCTCTCTGGGCTGCAGCCTCCGCTCTGCCACAGACAGCGTCCCGTCAGCCCGCACCCACGCAGGGTCCCTCTTGGGCCAAGACCCAGTCCCCTGCCCTCCCAGCCCAGGAAAGCCCGTCTGCATCCAGCCTAACACCTTGGGGGGTGCTTTATAGCTCCCTAGGCCTCTGAGCCTCCTCTCGCCACTGTCCTTCCTAAAATGTGGATCTGATCATGTCCCTCCCCTGCTCAAAACCCTCTCGTGATTCTTCATCACCCCAGGTAAAGCCTAGCTTCCTTGGCTTGGTGTTCAACAACTATTAATAATACGACCATGTAGCGCACATTTGCTCTGTGCCAGGCACTGTTCTAAATGCCTTCACCTGAGTTATCTCATTGCTGTTGTTATTAGACGCATCTTACAGATGCGGGGACAGGGAGGCACTGAGGCACACAGCCAAAGTCACCAGCCGTAGGTGGGAGAACAGGCAGGACTCAGGCCTTCCGGCTTCACGTCTGCCTGCTTAACCCTCTCACAGTTTTGTTCCATGCTCAGGCTCTTTGTGTCTCCTGCCTGGAGTCTCACTCTCTCCCTCAAATCCCCAAAAGCAAATTCATCTTTCAGAAGTCGGCCAAGGGCCCTCTACCCGGGAAGGCCCTCCTTGACTCCTCCTCCTATGCTAGGTGACCTCCCTGCTCTGGGTCCTGCAGGCCTGGTCTCTCGCCATCCCTGTTGCCCTTTCCTGCTTCTCTGTTCACCTGCCTGACTCCTGGGCTTAGTCCTCCCGACACCCCCAGGGCCAGCACAGAGGGGGCTCAGCCAACAAACACTAGATGGAAGAGCAGCCCGCTTGCTGGCCCACCGGCTTCCATTCCTGTCCCTGCCCCAGCCTCTCCACGTGGGCCTAGCCCCTCGCTCGGCTCCAGTGCACTACCCTCCCTTCTATCCTTCCAGCATGCCCCAGGGCCTTTGAACTGGCTATGCTTCTTATGGGGAATTTCTTCCCTCTACCGTGCCAGTCCTGCAGGGCTGATGCCTCGCTCAGGCCTCGATTCAAACCTCACCCCTTTGTGGATGCCATCCCTGAGCATCCATTCAAACAACGCCCCCCACCCCCAGGCATTCTTCATCACATCCCCACTTTGTTTTCCTACAACTATCAGCATCTGGAAATAGCTTGTTAGGTTATACTACACTGCGCTGTCACTCCAGGAGGCAGGGGCCACGTTTGCCCAGGTCACCACTGTATTCCAGGGCTTGGCGGCAGGTGTGTGTCAAAGGAGGACCTGAGAGAGTGCCCAGGCCTCCCCGATGCCCTGGTGTGGCAGTGGCAATGCCGTCGGCAGCCCCAGGCCCCGGCGGGATGGAAAAGATGAGCCCGCCACCCCCGAGCTCCCGGCCCAGTGTGCTCCGAGTCCCAACCTGTTCTTGGTCGTGGGCATCTCTGGGGAGCTCTGAGTAGAAGAGTTCTCCGACTTGGGCTCCTGCGAGACGTGTCCGCTGTCTGGGGTCTTCTGGCCGGCCGGGGGACTCTCCCTGTGGGGCACATGGTAGCGGGGGGATTCAGCACCAGGCCTGGGCAGAATGAGGGCAGAATGAGGCCCAGGTGAGGATAAGAGGTCGTGGGCACTTCCTGCCTCGTACTCATACTATGTCCTCAGGCGCCAAGCCCAGGACAGTCCCTGCAGCTCCCTGGCCAGGCCTGCATGGGCAGTGTGGAGCACCTACATAAGACAGGACACCCCCAAGTCCTCCTCTCCACGGAAGCAGGCATAACTGTCCCCCATTATGCATCAGGAAACTGAAGTCCAGAGATGAACAGCCAGAACGTGGCAAGGCCAAGACCCGAACCCAGGATTTGTGGGATTCTGGGCCATGAGGACGGTGCCCACCACCCTGCTTCACATGCACTGTAGCGCACCCCGCAGCACCCCCATGCTGGTGGTTATGTTCTTAGACTTGTTTTTCAGATTGGCACAGTGAGGCTCAGAGACGTATGGTGACTTTTCCAAGGTCACACAGCCCCCGTGTTGGTAAAGACAGGATTCATGCTCAGGAACTATCCTCTGCTTCCCAGGGGCTGCCCTGCTGTTAACACAATTTGCTACCCATCCCTGCTCTCACAGACGCACCCCCAGACCCCCACCAACCAGGCCAGAAATCCCAGCTCTGCTCCTCACCGCTGTGTGACTTGGGTAAGCCCCTGAGTGAGCCCTCTGACCTACAGCACCCTGATGTGCCAGGTGTGAGACCCAGGGAGCCAGCAGAACTGCTGAGTGGATGAAAACAGTTCGTGAGAGTTGACGAGCGAGCCCTGGTGCCTGGTGCACAGCAGGGACTTGATCGTACAGCTGTCGCCGTGGGGGACAGAGAGGCAGAAGGGTGGGCACTCCCTCCCACCTGTTTTGCCTTGCTGCTGAACGGGGGTCAGGGAGGGAGTCAGAGGGGACACAGACCCAGCGCCGCCGCCCAGGTCCACCCACCTTTTCTCCTGCACCTCCTGTATGTTCTCGATGCCGATGGCGCTGCTGCGGCGTGAGCCGAAAGGGCCCGACTTCTTCCTCGTGGGGCTCTTCCCCGGGACAATCAGGGACTGCAGGGAGAGGCCCCAACTCAGTGCCCACCTGCCCGGGAGCCCTGGTGCCCCCCACCTGCCACCGTGGGCCCTGCTGCCCCAGGCCCCGAAGCAGAGGCAACGAGCAAGAAAGAATGAAAGAAAACGTCCATCTCCAGAAGCAGTTGAGAGAGAGAGAAACGGCCCCGTGAGGGCGAGGGCCCCCCGCCCCACCCGAGATCGCATGGCAGGGCTGGGCCCGAGGGGTCCCGGGCCACTCTGGGCTGAGATGGGGGAGGCCGAGTCCTCAGAATGGCTGCTCCCGCTCCGCCCTCCAGGGCTTCATGGGACTTGCAGCCTAAGGACAGTGGGGAGCGAGCCGTTATAGTGACCCGAGCCCCAGCCCCAGGCAGCCCTGCCCTGCTGCAGAATCTCCATACTGGCTGCAGGAGGTTCTGAGCCAGCATCGCAGATGCCGCCCCCAGTTTCCACATACACTAGGGTAGGATTCCCCAGGCACCAGAAACATGCCCCCAGCTCCTCTGGGGGTTCAGGAAGAAGGGCCCCAGGGAGGGATGGAGGGGCAGGAACCCCCAGGCCAGTTCATGGTGGGGAGAGGACTCAGGGCAGAGGAGAGGGATGATGCTTCATGCAGAACCGGCGATATTGGGGGACGTGCAGCTGGGCATAGGGTCTTTGGGTACCAGGTCCTGGCAGGGACTGGGCCAGGGTCCCAGGGGCCAGGGCAGGGCCAGAAGCCCCTGGCAGGGGGCACTGGCTCTGGCACGGGTACCAGGCCCCAAAGCGGGTGCTGAGTGCCACCGGAGCTGCTGGCACTCCGTCCTGCACACCCTGTCCTGGGGAAAGGGGGGCAACGTCCCCAATATGGCCTCCGTCCTGAGAGCGAGCAGAGAACAGCGCGTGCAGGCAGCCTCCAGAGCCGGTGCGCCCGCGGGTGACAACCTCTTCCACGGTTCCTATGCCTATGGCACTGCCCCGGCGTCCAAATCTACTCGAACTTTTCCCAGGAATAAGCAATGACTGGCAAGCAGCAAAGGACAGACAGACACAGAGAGAGTCAGAGAGAGTTAAAGATGGCGGGAAGGGGAGACACAGAGAAGTGAGATGGGGAGAGGAGGGCAAGACAGACAGACAGAGAGAAACGAAGAGAGTGGGGCAGGGTTTGGAAGAGAGAAAGACAAGGCCGAGGAAGGGAAGGTGAGAAGAGGTGGGAGGAGAGACAGAGGACGGAAGACAGAGAGATTGACAAAGAGATGGTTACGCAGAGACAGGGGCGCGAGTGAGGGCGCGCGCGAGGGGCGCAGCGTGAAATGCAGACCGACAGACACAGCGACGGGCCCGGGGGATGAGGCACCGCAGAAATAGGAAGGGAAGGGGAGGAAAAAAGGAAGAAGCAAAGGAGAGAAGAGCGGGAAGGAAGAGGAGGAGAGTGAGTGAAAACGGGTGCCAGAGGGAAGAATATGTATGTGTAAGAAGGTGGAGAGAGGCCAAGGGGATGAGAAGCGGGGGCAGAGAAGGAGAAGGGAAAACAAGGAAAGAGGAGAGAGTAAAGGGGAAAGGAAGCAATGTGAAAAAGGGAGCATTGTGCAAAAACAAAACAGAAATGGGTCTGGTTACTGCCAAGGTGGGTGCTGCCGGCCTGGCCCGGTCCCAGGGGCCCTCCACAGCCACCCACAGGAGGCTGGGCCACTCCAGGCAAGGAAGGGAGTGGCTTGTAAATCTGGGTTGTGGGGGAGGGTGGGCCTGCTTCTCCAAGGACAGTGGTCTTGGTGACTGCTGGCCAGCAAAGGACCTGCCTTCCTTCCCTGGCCAGGCCAGATCATGGGGCAGAACCTGGGGGTCTGGGGGGCGGGTATCCCTCCTGCCACAAGTGACACAGCCTCACAGCACTGAGCACAGGGCTTGGCATGCAGCAGTCAATAAATGATTGATGGAGGAGGGGATAAGGAAGAAGGATGGATGGGGAGGCGGGAACAGAGCATTGGGTGCAGTGCCTGAGGTGGCCACTAGGTGGCAGAAAGCATAGAGACCCACAATTCAAGGCCATGTCCACCCAGTGTGACCACACACCTTCTGTGTATTAGTAGCAGAATCCCACAGAGCCTGGCATACAGTTAGTAATCACACAGTAGGTGCTCACTCAGGAGATGCTCACACAGAAGCCCAATTCCTGACACATAACAGGCAGTCACAATCACAGAGGCCCTGGCACACAGTAGGTGCTCACATAACAGCCTAGGGCCTGACACACAGAGGTAGATGTTCACAGTATATGCTCACGCAACAGCTCATTTCCTGACAGAATGAGTATTCACGGATATCCAGGCTTAGCACACATCATGCGCTCATTCAGCAGTCAATTTCCTGGCATATAGAAGGTTCTCACACAGCAGCCCAGGGCTAGGCACACAGTAAGTGCTTGCAGAGTTTAGGCCCACACAGCAGCCCAGAACCTGACATACAGCAGGTGCTCACAAAAACTCAGGGCCAGGCCCACAGTAGATGCTCACAGAGTACATGTCCATACAACAACCCAGGTCCTGACACACAGTAGGTCCCCATCAGCATCTCAGAGCCAGGCACACAGCAGGTATTCACACAGAAATCCAGGTCCTGAAACACAGTGCATGCCCACAGCCTGACACACAGTAGGTGCTCCCAGAAACTAAAGGCTTGACAGTAGGTGCCCACACAGCAGCCCAATTCCCAGCACACGATAGACAGTAGATGCTCAGTAAGGAATGTGATACAGAGGCTGCCCCAGAGCTGCCCCACAGGAAGTCACACCTGAATAAGGGGCCAGGAACTGGGGAGGGGAGAGGAGCTGGGAAGGAGGCTGCAGGCTCTCAGCATTCTAGTGTCATGGCCTGGGCACATGACCCCCATGGGGAGCAGTGGCTAGACTGAGTCTAGAGCCCAGGATGGGCGACCCTTAGACGGCATGGCGATGGGGACAGGTGGGGCCAGGCCTCGCAGGCAGGGGAGAGCTGAGGGCCCCTGGGGGAGGGCACTCACTATTCCAGCCGCCTTGGCCAGGTCAGGGTTGTTGGGTGTAAAGCTCCCGCTGTGGCTAGTGGACACGGTGTTGGGCTTCTTGTTGCTTAGTCCCATGGCATCCATGGACTGGCTGCGGCTCCGGATGACCCTCTGCGAAGGTGGGGGTGGGGTAGAGGAGGCACAGGCTTCATGAGCCCCTCACCTCGGGGAAACCTAGGAGCTCAGGCATCTGGTCACTTCCCACCCATGCCACTCTGCGTGTCCATTCCCGTGAGGCCACACGAGAGTCAGGTCCACATGGTGCCAAGGGTAGTTTGGGCCTTGGCTCTGCCACCAACTTGCTGGGTGACCTTGGGCAAGCCACTTCACCCCTCTGAGGCCCCCTGAGCCTCTCGTGTGATTGTTGTGAGGAACGCACAAAATCCTGGGTCATGGCCAAAAGTGTGCACAGAGAGCCCTCAGAAACTTCGGTTTCTTCCTTTTAGGAAGGCTTCTTAAAGCTTTTTTCTTCTTTTTCTTCCCTCCCTCCCTTGCTTTTATCAGCCAGTCTATGCTGAATGCTTACTAGGGGCCAGCTACTGTACATTAGCTCTCTCATTGATTTCGCCCTGTGAGGTAGACCACGCCCATCTTACACATGCGGAAGCAGAGGTGAGTCTGGAACCCACACGCCAAACCCAAACCCTTAGCTGTGGGCTCTGCTGCCTCTGAGAAATTCTGTGACCTAATTAATCCAGGTCCGCCGTCCAGTACCCACCAGATGTGGGATCACTGAAGCCCTCCCTCAGAAGACACCCCAGACCCACGCTCGCCCCACCCACTCCTGTCTCCTCAGGCCTCTTTCTCAAAGACGGTCTGTTGGCCTCAGTCCAGGGCAGGCCTGAGCAGCTGGGCTAATCCCCTTATGTGAACCCACAGCTCCAGCTTTGTGGTTTGCCCAGGGTGAGGGTGGAGACCAACCAGCTTGGCTGGGCCCCTGGAGGATGGGCAGTCCTCCTCTTGTGGGTAAAGGACACAGTGGCAAAGAAGCTACTGCCTAGGGACCTGCCAGCCTGGGGGAGTCCAGGCCCTACCTGAGGAAAAAAGAATCTGCTTTACAAATAAGTCCCAGCAATGACATAAGTTGCCATTACCCTGACAGATAAACTGAGGCTCAGAGAACGATCAAGCTGGTAAGTGACAGAGCTGGGATTTGAGCCCAGGGCGTCTCTACTCTTAACACTAAGTGAAACCAGAGGCAGCCAGGTTGGGTCAAACTGGCTGAAGGTCACACAGGCCAGGTCTCACACCTATGGCCACTTGGTTCACACACCCCTTCCAGGACCTGTTTCTTTACCTCCACCAGGACAGAGGCCTCCTCCTCTCTTCTTCACCTGCTGACCTGGCAGCCACCACCCTCGGTACCAGAGGCACCTCGTTGCCACTCAGAGGGTTCCAACCTTCAGCAGAACTTCCAGGCAGACTCCGCCCCCAAGCCTAGGCCCCCGCCTCCAACCATTAACTCCTCCCCAGCCAGAGCCCCACCTTACACTCCCAACTGCAAGCTCTACCCCCAGGTACAGACCACACCTCCAAGTACAGCCCACCATAAAGCCTAGGTCAACCCCCGAGCCACGCCCCCACCCAACTCCACCCCCAGCGTGAGCCCGCCCCTAGCCACGCCCCCACGCCTCGTTCATAACCCCATCCCAACTCTCCTCCAGCCAGGTCCTTGCCCTTCTGCACCCAGGTGGACCCGACCCTTCACCTTGAAAGACTCAAAGAAGCCGCCGCCACCACTGCCGTTCTCCATCTTGTCCTCGTCGCCGCCCAGGCCCATCATAGACTGACTGTGGATGTGTAGCTCCTCATAGAGCGTCTCCAGAAGGGCGGCCCGTGTCCGCTCCTGTGGGCCCGGGACAGGCCGTCAGGGGAGACCCCAGTGATCAGCCCTTCGTCCCACAATTCCAATCCCCGCCACCTTCTCTGAGTAAGTGGGGAGTGGGCCTGGGCCCCAGAAACCTGCGCGGGCTTCCCTCAGGCCCCTCCAGGATCTCGCCCCCCCCACCCCCGTTTTCCCTTCGCCTACGGCGGCCTCCGTGCCAGCCCCTCCCGGGCATCCCTCACACATCCCTAGAAATGCCTTCCGTTCTCTCCCTTGACTCTAGCCCTACTCCTCCGTAAATCGGTACTTCCCCAAGCAGCCCTCCCTAAAGCCAAGGTCTGAACAAGGCCTTTTCTCTCCCCTAGGGGCGGGGCCGAAATTCTAAGTTGGGGGGAGGGGCTCAGGCCCAACAGCCCATCCTCACCTCCAGTTTGGCAAACTTCTCTGCCTTGTAGCAGGCGTATTCAGCATTGATCAGCTTTGTCAGCAAAAATTCCTGGAACTCGGGCCCCTGGGAGCGCCCAGAGTGGAGGAGAGGAGAAAGGGGGTTCAGGCAAACACAAAGACAAGGGGCTGGGCCCAGTGTGACAGGGGCCATGGGCTGCCCTCTGCACTCCCAGGGCACCTCCTTGGGGCTCAGCTCCCCAGCCCAGGCAACCATGAGGGCCCCTGTGCCCTTCATGGGTGCCCTCCACTCTGGAGAGCAAACGCCACAGATGTAAGAGGCTGAGTCGGGGTTTCCTACTTCCTCAGTCTGGGGGTGCTGAAGCCAAGCCTCCACATGTGGCTTCTGAGAGGTGAGAGAGAAGTGTGCCCCCCTAACATTTAGTGGAAGGAAGACTGTAATTGTCAAAAAGATAATAGAAATGAGGGAAATCCACAAGAGCCTGCTAGGAAAAGTATAAAACAATGAGTTTATTCTGTGACTTTGTAAATAAAGGTCACAGTTTTTATCAAGATGAAGAGAAAAGCCAGGCCCCAGGTGCAGTTAGGAAAGCCCAGCTGCCCTGGCACACAGTGGGGCTTCAGGACCTCATATGGCAAACTGTGTGCCCCTCCTCAGCCCCCACCTACTTAGTCCTGCCCCTCACCTTCCTGAACACAGCGGGGTCCGGAAGCGGGGGCCCAAAGAAGGGCACGTCATCTCTGGCGGTGACGGAGACCTGGAAGGAAGAGCAGTCCCCATAGAGACCTCATACCAGCCAGACACCCCTAATTCACCTTCCTGTCCCTGCCCATGCTGGGCACAGGGCCTGCCCCTTGGTCGAGGAAGTTCGGTGACTATGGATTGGGTGACTGACCCCCAGGATTTTAGCTCCTCCACCCTTGGCCCTGAATTGGAGTGGTGGGAAGGGGGTGTAGGATCTCAGAAGTCATCAGGGATGGTTAATGACGAGGAGGTGGCTAACTTTGGGGCATAGAGAGGGCAGGATAAGAATCCATCGTTGGAGTGAGAAGGAGTTTAGGGTGCTCAGGGCAGGCCCCCTACAGTTGGGGAAGCTGAGGCTCGAAGAGGCCTCATAGTGAGTGAGGTGGGGCTAGGCCCTGGGAAGCTCTGAGATCACCCACCTTGTAGAGGGGGCCGTCAGGGCCCCCACCCTCGGCCTGCACCACCACGTAAGCGTGCAGGAAGTTGGAGGCAATCATGTCGGGTACGAAGGGCGTGTTCTCGTCCTGGAAAACCACGGCGACGATGTCGTTCCCGATGTGTCGCTTTCGCTGCAACTGAGCACAGGGTCACAGGCCTTCACGACTTGGCCAGAGAGGGGCTGCTGGAGGCAGGGGAGGGGGCCGCAAGGATGTGGGAGGGTCTGGAGTAGGCAGAGGGCATGTCTAAGGCTTTGCTTCCCCCCCAAAAAATGTGGTGAGAAACTTGTCTTTAAATTATTTTCATTTTCTCGGAATCCTGTGACAGATGAGGAAACCGAGGCCAAGAGAGGAGTGACTTGCAAGGCCCTACAGTGAGTGAGGGGACTCGAACCCAGGGCTCCTGGTTCCCAGGCCCTACCTCTCAGCCTTTCTCCTGTCTAAATACCCAGCACGTATATTCATGTTGCCAAAATGAACAGAGAAACTTATTAAAAGAAAATAAAATGACTCTAAAAAGTAAGGAACAAATATTTCTATTTTTCTCACATTACTGTTTTACCCCGCCAGGGTGGGGGTATGGGGTAAGGGAGACAGTCCTGCAGGAAGCTTAGGACAAGGTCACAAATTTCTGAGTTCAGCTCCCAGAACGTGTCCTACACTTCCTCACATCCAGGCCTTTGTAGAAGCCGGTCTCTCCACCTGGAACACTCCCCCCATTTCTCCCAGCCCCTTCGCAGCCTAAAAGGCACTTTATTGTGAAAGCTTTTCCTGACTCCTACTTCTGCCAAGTCCAAGTCCCCCCCCCATGTGACCCCACAATGCCCTTCACTCCTTGTAAAAATGCTAATATTTGTTGAGTTCTTGCTAGTACCAGAGACTCTTCTAGCCACTGTATGTACATCCCTCATTTATGCTCACCTATGAGGTAGGTGCCATTATTACCCCCATTTCACAGATGTGGAAACCGAGGCTTTCACAGCCTTGTAACGGCTGGTCTCCCCGACCCCAACTAGAGCCCACAAGTGGGAGGACTGGATCACTTCCATTTTCTATATCCAAGGGCCCACTGAGCCTGGTGTGGTGGACACCGGACAGGTAGAGGGGACAGGAGGATGGGTAGAAGCAGGTGGGTGGGTGCCCGGGCTACCTGCTGGGTGTCCCCTTCTGTGTAGGGCAGCTTGGTGGACACGTGAAACATGATCTCCTTGTTGCGGAAGTTGCAGTACACAGACTCGGTCCCCGTCTGCCCGTGGGTCACGTCCAGGCCTCCTCGGAACCTGCCCCAGACCCCCCAGGCCACGGCTCAGTCTCCAGCCCCGGCCAGGCCTCCATGGGGCCAGGACAGGGGCTCCCCCGCTGCCCAAGGATGTGGGTCACACTGTATACTCTGCTTATCCCACCCTAATGCTCACCCCTTAAAGTCCTGCAGTTTGACCTTCTGGCCAAGAAACTCGAGGAACTCCACGAAGGCAGGGCTTTCCTCGTTGGTGCTGAAGAGTTCCTCCTCAGAGGTCTGGGGACACACAGAGGGCATAGGTCACGGAACTGGAGCTCCTGAGCTGCTCGTCCTCCCCCCCCCGCCCCGCCCCCGCTAGAAAAGGCTGGAAGGAGGACCCCTGGCAGCCCCTGAGCTCCTGGGAAACTGAGTCCCCAGGGGAAGTCCCAGATACCCTGTCAGGTGGGTGGGGGCGCAGGGAGGAGGAGGTGAGCACACCTGCCCAAGCTTCTGATAAATGACTCCAAACTTGAAGTTATTGCTGATAACATGCTCGTCAAAGGTGACGATGAGCCGGGAAGCCTGGAGGTAGAGGACCAGGGGTGAAACGGACTGCTTTTTCCAGTTGTCGTTTATTGCTCTTGTTATGTGCCAAGCGCTATGCCTGGCACTCCACGTGCATCATCTCATTTAATCCTCAGAACAAGCCTGCGACGGAGACACTCCTACTGTCCACGTTTTATAGATGAAGAAACCAAGGTTCGGAGCTTATGTCACTTGACTAAGGTCAACAGCTTGCAAGTGGCCGAGCTGGGACTTGAACTCAGGTCTGTTAAATTCCAAAGCTCAGCACTGCTCCTGAGTTTTGCCCATGAGCCCCTGCTCCATCTCCACTCCGTGACACCCAGCTCCCTCCTCGGCTCCTCAGTAAACTCACCTCAGCATTCTGCAACAGGCCAAGTCCCACCAATTTGCTGTGGGACCTTGAGCAAGGTCCCCTCCTCACCTTGTGCCTTGCTTTCCTCTTCTGTAACAGAGATGGGATCTAATTTCCGAGGCCCCTTCCCTTGGGGACCTTTCCTGGACCACACCACCCCTCAGGGACTGCATCCTGCTCTAGAATTCAGTCAGAACTACAAGGGTTTATATGTCTTTCAAGGCCCACCTCTTTCAGGAAGCCTCCCTGGCTCGTTAAAGACTAAAGTCTCTACCACTTTTCCCACATGTGACAGAGCCGCAAACCCAGCACTCAGCACCAGAGCTGGAAAGGCAGCTGCTCTCTGTGGGGCAGCATTTGTGGAGGTGCCTGTGTTATTCTCTCTCACCAGATCCCCTCTGGGGTCAGAAGGCAAGGCCAGTGGAGTTTCCTGGCCCAGGAGTACAGACTGCCCTTGGGAGGGTTCCCAAACGACACTAAGAGTTTTCAGAGGTAAGTAAAGCATTTCTCCAATGCAGACAAAACTAGGTTTAAGTGCAGGCCATGATTATCTGCTATGCATCCCTGGGTAAGATACAGAAACTTTCTGGGCCTCTGGTTTCTCTTCTGCAAACTGTAGACTTTTGCAGGATTGTTGTGAGGATTAAATGAGAGAACTTAGAAAAAATACTCTGCACACAGCAGCGCCCAATAAATGTTCGATCCCCTAGTTACCTACCCACCCCCAGTGAGCAGGGCCCAGATCCAGCCATACCTTGGGGTAGAGCACAGGATAGAATCGATCCACATTCACATCTTCACATACCAGCTGCAGGAGGAGATAAGGGGGCATCTAAGGGTAGGGCTGGGAGGAGGGGTGGGGCCTCTGGGCCTCCCAGGCCAAGGTCTGCAGGACAGCAGCAGAAAGGAGAGGGCACAACCGAGGCTGACGCAGGACTGTGGGCTCACTCTTGCTCAGAATGGGGTACAGAGAACTGAAGTACCAAAGGTACTCTAAAGAGGTCCAAAAGCACACAGATAGGGGACAGGGCACCAGAACACATGAGAGTGTGGATATCATGGGGACACATGAGAGGCAGGACCTCAGAGACAGGGCTGCAGCATGCAGGGCCAGGACCTGGAGCTACAGACGCAAGTGTGCTAAGGCCGAAGCTGCAGCCTGGCCGTGTGCCCACCTGGGGTGCCCAAGGGGGCCCAGAATGAAGGAGCAGAGGCCTCACCTTTGCCATCTGGACCACGTTGGGGAACTCGGTGAGGCAGGAGATGGGGATGACATCATGGTACGTCCGGCACTTGGTCCTGGGAAGAAAAAGTCAACGGTGAGGGGCTAGGCAGTGGGAAAGGGAGACGGGAGCCCCTCCACACAAAGTAAGACCCCAGGGAGGACCAGCGGTGATGACAGGGGCCAAGCCTGGCTCAGGCTCTAACGCGTTGTGCAACCTCAGGCAAATCCCTGCCCCTCTCTGGGCCTCGATGAGAAGAGTGGGTAAAATGAGGTGGGTTCTCAGATTATAAGACCTCAGCCCAACCTGCTATCCCAGGGTCCATCACCCCACCCTCACCTGAGCAGCAGCCGTAGGTGCTCCTGGTCCCCGATGACATCATACTTGAGTGAGAAGACAAGGTGGCCCAGGGCAGTGTCCAGTGAGTAGTAATTGAAATGCTCCTGTGGGAGGTGGGCCAAGGTAGTGGGTGAGACTGAGCTTGTGGCTGCTGGAACCAGACCAGAAAGCCAGCTCATTCCCAGATGGGGGTCCCTCACCAAGCAGAAGGTGTCACAGCTAATAGCAGACTCTGCACCAGGCAGACCCACATTCAAATCCCACTGGGATTTGCCAGCCGAGTAGCCTGAGAAGGTCACTTCACCTCTCTGTGCCTCAGTTTCCTAGTCTATAAAACAGAAGCGAGGTCACTTACTTTGTGGGATGGTGGCAGGGACTGAAGGGGATAAAGTGCCTGGCACAGAGTAGGTATTCAATGAATGTTTATAGAAACCTGGGCTCTCTGTGTCCTCGTCAAAGTCAGGATCACATTCGGATCTCCATACTTGTCTCCTAGCGCTGCCCTACTCAGGGCTGGGCACACAGTAGGGACTCAATAAAAATATGCCAACTGATTGCTCAACCTTTGGCTTCTGAAGCCAGGGCCCGTGAGAAACAGGAAGTGAAACATGTCATGAACACACTGGGTGGCTGACCGGGCAGGTTCCCACCCTCCTACCTCACTGGGAGAAGCCGTAGGGTGGGAAGGAATACCTCAGGGGACGCAAGAGGAAACGGAGGCAGAGAACCCTAGAAGGAGCCCAGGGCTGGCACCTCTAGGCAGGAAAGCCCCAAAGCCAAGGGCCATGAGTGCTAGGAGAGTACATACACCCCAGCCTGGCCCTGGGCTCCCCCTGCCAGCGCCGGCCCTGGGAGTGGAGCTGGCTCCGCAGCCACACCCGCCCCAGGAGTCATCCTGGAAGTCCTGTTTAAACATGAACACCTGTGCTCAGAGAGCAGACGAAAGAGGCAGAGGCCAGGGGATGTGCCCCCACAAATCTGTAGCTCAGGGACAGTCTGAGGGCACCCCCTCTGCACTGCCTGGGCACAGAGTGACAGAAACCCCCACATGCGTGGCACCCTCTGTAGAGAGGGAATGGCAGGCACCTGGCAAGGAGAGCTGCACTAAAGTCTTCAGGGTGGGCAGTTTCCCAGGACTCCCCTGGCCAGGCCCAGAGGAGTCCAAGGAGCAGTAGGAGAGTGGGCTCAGGGTCCCAGGGAGTCAATACTAAAGTCACCCTAACCTCCTCCCTTTGCCTGAACAGGCCTCGGTGCTTCCCACGTCACCCCATGTCACCCCACGTCACCCCACCTGGAGTCGGGAGATGGCCCTGGCTCTGTGCCAGCTCATGGGGCCCCTCTTCTCTGTGCTGCCAACCTGACCCTGGTCATCATGCCTCTTCTGACACCCCAACCTGTACCTCTTTGGGTCCTTCTGTGGTCAAGGTGCCACCTTCATTCTGTCACTCATCACTCCTCAGCAAACTTTTCTGAGTGTCAACTATGTGCTAGGCCCACACAGTCCCCCACATCGCACTCTGGACAGGGGGTGCCGGGATGCAGGTCTCTCTCCAACCACAGGGCTCAGCCTAGAGGTAGAATCTAATGCCCTGTTCTGGGTTTGTTCCCAAGCAATGGCTCCTGAACCCGGGCCTGCTGGTTTAGTCTCAGTAACAATGTATTCCACCCCTTTCCACTTTCAGCCTTAGCAACAATACCCTCCAGGGTCAGGCCAATGCCTTGGGCTCAGACTGAGGTCATATAGTTCCCCAATTCCCAACACACCTTCCCAATACACATGCGCACACACCTAGGAACATGGCTCTTCCCATGGCATGTCTTTTTAAAAATACATTTGACATCTGACATTGTATAAACTTAAAGTGTACAAAGGTTACTTTGATACGTTCATATATTGTAATATATATGACTGCCATTGCGGTGATATTTATCACATTACGTAATTATAGTACAATATTATAGTTTATTCCCATAGTGTGTCTTAACGGAAGGTCAGCCAGAACTAGGTCCAATTCCTAGCTCAGTAATTATGTGACCTTGACCAAGTCACTTCACTTCTCTGAGCCTCAGTTTCCTTTTCTGAAAAGCTAGGACAATCCTGATCTCACAGAGTAATTATGAAGATGTACTAATAACAGTTACAATTTATTGAGTACTTGCTATGTGCCAGGCTCTCTATGCTTTAATGGTTTTCTATGCTTTAATGTATTTTTATTACCCCCATTTTTATAGATGAGGAAACAGGCTCGGGAAGGTTAAATAACTGGCCCGAGGTTATCAGTAAATAGAAGAGCCAAGATTGGCACCCAGGTGAATCAAGACCCCAGGGCCACACTACACCCTGCCAGAGACAGCACCTGGTGTGGAACCTGACACACACAGGGCCCCAGCTTGGGACCTCCCCTCCAGCTCCCACAACCTTGCCCAATAACTCTTGCCTGGAACACTGCTGGGTGACACTCTGACAAGTGGTGACCAGGCAGGGTCCCCGCTCTGGGGCTGGTGGTGGAGTGGGGGTTGCATCAATCCAGGTCATGCCACGACATTACTGTGTATTCCCAGCCCCACAAGCTGCCTGAGGGCAGGGCCTGGGTATGTTTTGTTTACTGCTATATACCTGGTGTCTTGCACAGAGCCAGGCACACAGCTGGTGCTCATTATTTGCTAACCCTGACTGAGCCTTACTCTATGCTAGACGCCATTTTTCACACTTTACAAGCATCCTGTCATTAAAGGTTCATAACAACTTTATGAGGTGGGTATCATCACCATCTCTGTTTTTACAGTTGAGGAAACAGAGGCACAGGGAGGGTAAGTGATTTGCCCAGTGTCCCACGCAGTAAGTGGCAGAGCCAGGATTCAAATCCTGGTAGTGTCTTCGCTGTTAACCATTACGCTCTAATACTGCCTTTTGCAATAAGTGGTTACTGAATGAATGAGTGAATCCACTACGCTATGCTCCCTGAGACTCAGGGCTCTAGGACTCACCCAGCACCAGCCCAAAGGTTCTGCTTCCTCCCAGGCCCAGCCCTCCAACACCAGAGGACCACCCACCTTGCCGAGAAAGTGCTTCCGGTAGATGCGGGCTGTGGGGTTGCACTCAAGCTTCACCTTGGTCGTGGGTGACTGCAGTGGCTCTGTCTCTGGGATGCTGGTGATTTCGTGGTTGGTGCCTTCAATCCAGTAGCCCCCGAACTGGGGCAGCAGAATGAGGGGAAAGGGCCCTTCTCGCCCCAGGACCTAAAGAGGGACTCAGCTGAGAGCTACTCTCACTGCACCCCACCAGGGACCCCAGGACACCTCCCCAACTAAGGGGTACTACATGGGTCGCAGACCACATGGAGCCCCAAGTCTCATTCTCAAACGATGGAGATGGGGCCAGGTAGAGCTGGGAGCACGACCTTGGCAGAGAGGATGAAATGTTTGCCTTGGAGGCCTTCGGTTCAAATGGGCACTGAGGTCTTGAGCCCGTAAACTGAGTCTCCAGCCCCAACTGTGGTCAGGCTCCTGACCAGGAGGAGGACCAGGGCATCCTGAACTCCCTGCGCGAGAGCCTCCAGTGCTTGGGGTGGGGACAGGCTTGGGGTCGGGGGGGTTCCGGCTGGTTACCTCGTGCACACTTGGGTAGGGAATGTAGTCTTCTTCCGTCTGCAAAACACAAGCAGGGGGAGGTCCATCTGGGACGGGGCCCGCACCCTTGACTTCCAGCCTCCCCGGAATGCTCTTTTGTTTGGCCAGCCATCGGGACTGAGTGTGGAGAGGGCTGGGTCCTCATCTCCCCATCTCATGGGTGAGGCGGGGCTTGCCTTGGGGTGACCCCACGAGACAGGGGCTGAGGGCTGGCAGCCTCTTCTGAGCCTCGTCCTGCCTGAGGAGGAGGCCCACTGCCTCCCCAGAAGGAACCTCTGGACCAGTGGTTCTCAGAACAGCCTGGAAGGCTTGTTAAACACAGACGGCTGCACCCCGCTGCCCCGCCCTCCCCTCCCCCTGAGTTTCTGATGCCCTGGGCCTGGATGGGCCTGAGCATTTACATTCTCACAAGCTCCCAGGTGGTGCTGATGGGGCTGGTCTGAGGACCACATTTTGAAAACTCCTGCCCTGGACAAAGCATCAGGCTTATGCCCATGAATCTTCTTTAATCCTTACCCCTGCATCCCTGGGCCCATTCCCCCAGGCCCAGCCACTAGTCTTCTGGGATGGCTGGGGTCCCAAATCATCAACCAGAGAGTCCTATGCCCACCTGGAGGGGCTATGCAGCTCCCAGCCCAAGAAAATTTGAGTCTAAACAAGAGCCTCATTGCATCTCCTTCAGTCCTGTCTCTTGTCAGTCTCCTCATGGGAGGTGGGGGGCAACCAGGTCATCCTCCCCTCCCCCTCCCTTCCCCCTCAGCCTCCCTTCCAGACAGGAGCTACGGAGAACAGAAGAGCATAAGACTCCTGGGTCTTGGGTTTGAGTCTTCCTACAACTGTGCGTCGTAACTGGCTTCCATTTCTCACGGGCTGTCTTGTGAGGTATTGGGGCTTCGGCCCAGAGACAGCAAGGCCTGGAGAGGCAGGGTGAGTTTTCAGGGGTGGGGAGGAGCTGGAAGGGGCCCCAGCCCTATAGCAAGGGAGGGGTACTCCACATCTCAGAAGTCCTAGACTGCTTCTCATGAAAGAGTGATGGGTTCTCCTGGGCTGGCTGCTTTGGTTGGGCAGCTGTAGCAGCACCCGAGGGAGGACATCTGCCCCCCTCCCATCCCCCTCCAAGCCCTTTGGAGAGGCTGCTCAGGGAGCCCACGAAAGAAAGGGTGGGGTGGTGCTGGATCAGACCTACTTTGAGGGGTGGTGGGAAGGAGCATCGTTGTTCATCCATCCTGCTTCCCTGCAAAGAGAGGCCAATACTCCCGTAAAGAGAGGCCAATACTCCGGTTGCACCCCTCCCTCTCTCCCGCTGCACCCCTCCCTCTCTCCCGCTGCACCCCTCCCAAGCCTGCAGCAGCGCTGCCTCCCACTGGGCTCATAGCTCTTCCTGTGTAGAAGGGGAAAGCCAACCAATGTGGGGTATTCCCAGGGCAGGGTGCACGGTTACTCAGGCCCCTCTGCAGGGTTGGCTGTCCTGCTGGTAACCTGGGCTGCAGGAGGCGGGTGGCAGCAGGGGGGAATTGGGGGCTCTATGCGCCTGCTGCTGGGAGTGGGGGCAGGGGTGGTGTACACGTGCCTATGTGTGAGTGTGGGGATGTGGGGAGGGAGGCTATTGCATCTACACAGATACATGTTGTTGAGAGAGGAGGGGTGGGGAGAGACAGGGAGAGGGAGAGAGGGGAGAGAGAGGGAAGGAGAGAGGAGGAGGGGAAAGGTGGAGACAGAAAGACTAAGCAAGAGAGGCAGAGAAACAGGAAGGGACAGGAGAGGTTTAGAGGGTGAAATGATATCAGGTGAAGCTCCTGAGGTGTGTTCGAGTCGTCCTAGCCCCCTGCCCATCTCCCAACACATACCCACACAGAAAACAGACAAGAGCCTGAAAGCCCAGGGCAGGAGTCAGGCGGAGAGGGCAGGAGCTGCACTCCCAGGCGGCCTCGCTCATTAACACCTCCCCCTACCTGCAGCACGGCCTCTGGTTGCCCTGTGCCCTGGCATCTGTCCCTCCTCCCCCTCTACATGGGGGGTCCTGCAGAGTCTGTAATGCCTCTTGGGGGACGGGGAATGATGTGTATATGTGGGGGTGGTTTGAGGCAGGGACGCTTGCTCTGCTGGGGATCTATACAGGGATGGGAGCTGGGGAGACACAAATGGGGCCTGGGCCCCTGGGTCAGACAGGGGTTAGGCACTACCAGTCCCCACCCCCTACTGTGATCCCCACTTAGGGGCTCTGGACAACACACTGCCACTATCTCCTTCCTGCATGGTCTGCCAAGGGCTCCTGGACCATTCTGAGAGATGTGTGGGGTTGGAGATATGGCAAGGGCCCCCCACCGCCAGTCCAGTCCCCTTTGCGCCTCCCCAGAAGAGGTAAGGAGCCAGCCTCACCTGCATCTTTTCAATCATCTCAAACAGATCTGTGTTCTGCAACAGAGGAGGGGGAGAGAGAAGGTCAGTCCTCGGGGTGGTCCAGCCGATCCTACTGAGCCCCCAAGGAGTCTGCACCCAATCCAGCCATCCCGGTCCAAGTTCTGACCAACCACCTTGGACCTATCAGCCCAAAGCATAGGCCCCAAGGGGCAGCCCAGCCCACTCAGTCTCCTTACCCAAAGGAGAAGGCTGGTGCCTCAGACAGAGGGATGTGACCTCTGGGGAGAGACACATCTCCTTCATGTCACTACAAGGTTGGCAGTGCCAGGATCAATCAGCCCATGGACCTTTCAGAAGAGCCCCAGGCCCCAGCCCCGGAGAGGAGCCTAGCTGGGACCCTCAGAAGGGTCTGTGGTTCCACCCACCTCTCCTGGAAGAGGGTCCCACCCACCTATCTCAAGCACCCCAGGGTGCTACTGGGAGAAAGGACGCTGGTATATCCCATTGGTCCAACACACGTGTGTGAGTCCACACTCACCCCTCCAGCCCTCACACTCCAGACGGCCTCTCCCGAGGCTAGCCAGGGCACACACAGGGTTAATCGGGCATCTGCCAGCTGCTTTGGCAGCTTCTGCCTCTCCAGCGCCAACTCCCTGCAGCCTTCCTGGAAGGCAGCATCCTTGACGGCTGGCAGGGCTGGGGCTGGGCCTGGGAAGCCCCCAGAGTCTCCAGGATGGTGCCTCTCCCCCAACCCCTCCCAGATCCTGAGTCCACACACATGTGCTATGGGGTTGTGCACCAGGAAACACATACTCTTTCTCTCTTGCTTGAGCACACACAGGCCTACACACCAGTATTTAAACAGTCGTGCTGTACCAAAGAAAGCAAACACACACAAACCCACGGGGTCTGTGCACATCAATCCTTAGACTCAGAGCTATGTACTAACACACACATAAATGTGTCAGTGTCCCAAGCTACACAACAGCACACCCACACACATACAGGTCCATGTACCACAAGAACCACACAAACAAATGCAAACCCATCCCTGTGCAGATCTGCACATTAGTCATTGCATGTAAAGCTACATGAACACCACAAAACCACTCATGTCCACGTGCAGAGAGACACAATAACATGCACTCACAGATACAGGCAGGCATGGTCACAGAAACTTAGCTACAGAGCCCCACTCCCACATACCTTCCCCATCAGAGTCACGCACCCTGTGTAACAGATGTGACAGACTTTAAATGAGTTTTAAGAAAAAGAAGAAGCATGCAGCAACTGTGGGAGTGGCTAATCACCAAGGATGAGGAGCACACGTCCAAACCTCACACACCCCTCATACCCACTTGAGTACACACCACCCATCTCCCTCTCTCTCTCTCACACACACACACACACACACATAGACACACACACGGAGCTCTGTTAAATATCACAAGACACAAAAACCCATGTACACACTCTGAGACCTGACCACAGGGGCAAAACCCACCCCATGAAATGCACCACAGATGTCCATTGGAGACGCTGACCCATGGTCACCTATGGTTACACCCAACACTTCTGAGCTTGGACAAGACAAATCCACAAGCAGTTACAGCACAAACCACAGACACACACCTGTAGCCCAGGTAGACAAACATGCCTGTCAACCTAACATCCTGTACCACAGCAGCCTCGGCATCTATGCCCAAATAACCTCATACCAGCGCAGTGCCAGTATGAGTGATGGGGGCGCATTAATGTCCCCCAGCGCACCCCACTCTGGGTAACCTAACATGGCCAGGAACAATATGCACCTGGAGTCACAGCCATGTAAACACTGATGCATGGTACTGTCACCCAGAGTGCACACACAGCAACAAGTTACACCCACAGTTACAGCCTCACAGGAGCAGCAGACGCCCTGACACATGGAAGGCTGTGAGTCAAGTGGCCCAGAGCACCATGCAAAGTTACACTGTGACATTCAGACCACCTTAAAGGGGACAGGGGACCGACAACATGGTCCCGAGGCTAATACACACACACACACGAACACGAACACGCACACGCACACGCACACGCACACGCACATGCACACAGTGCCATGGTAGCCCCGAGCCACGGTGCCACTACAGTCACTCTCTTTCTTGGAAAGGGGCAGAAAGGGCCCAAAGCCTGGGACCCCAGGGCAGGGGTGCGCCCTGTGGCTGCCATGGCCGGGTGTCATCCCAGAAGCTAACACACCCTCCATGACAGAGCCTCGCACACCCGCCCTGGCTGGGGCAGAGCCTGCTGGACTCAAAGGAAGTCGGGCTGACCCGGCAGCTCCTGCAGACCCCTTTGGCCAGGCCATCCTCTCCCGGGTCCTCACCTGCCAGCCGGCCCCAGCGGGCAGCGAGCCCCTCCGCGGACGGCCGGCGTTGCCAGGGGCC